AATTGCAGAGGGGCCACTCACCTTAGCAACATCATCCCAGTCAGCCATAGAGCAACAATTAGCTACGGTCAGAGCAGCTGCATAGAAACTTTGTTGACAAACGCGGAAAAAAAGCGCAAAGCAAAGTCAAAGACCGACAGCATAAGTACCAACAACAACAGCAACAACAACGAAAGCACTGCATAAATAAATGACTAAGCGGCGGCGGCGGCGTCGCGTGCTGCTGCCAGGGACAGAAACATTGCGACGGCGATGGTGACAGCGACAGCGACGCGAGCAGCGCAGCAGCAACGTCAAAGCGTGACAAATAGCTAAATGTTGTTGTAGTCAGTAGTTGTTGCTGTTGCTGTTGCTGTCGCTGATTGCTGCTTGCGTCTGCACTTGCTCAGCCTTCGCGCATGTTGGGCAACATTTTTCTCTTGCATTCTTTATGGAGTGCAAACAATGTTGCCCGAAACTTGTTGCTGGCCAAACATTTTAAGTACTTATTTGCCTATGTCGTTGGCAACTGTGCGAACTTAAAAAAAAAGAGAAAAAAGAAGAGGAATAGGTAGACAGAGAGAGCAAGCAAGAGAGCGAGAGGTAGATAGAATATTATAATTATATTTATACAGCAGCCAAGCGGCTGTCGCAGACTCCACAGTCGCAAAGAACTTGGCCATTAGCGCTAAAGCCGCAGTCGAAACTTGTGCCTTAGCAGCTACAACAACAGCAACATTTTACGAGAATTGTGTAATTTCATTTGTACTTCATTTCGGTTAGCCAGAGCAAAATTTGGCGGCACCAGCAAAAAGAGACTAAAAGAAAACAAGATAAAGAGGCAGACAAAAAAACAGAAAAAAAACAATGCTCTGAAAATAGGAATTTGGTTTTTTGCGCCTGCCCTCTCGGAAAACTGAAAACTAGTTTAGTTTAATTCGCAGTTGGTACGCCGTAATTCCCAAGAAATCAGCAAAAAAAGCCAAAACAGAAAAAAAAAGAAACCAAAACAGAAGCTCATTAAAATGCGCAGTAAATTCTTCCATTTTATTTTTTTTTAACAACATCTTCTGATTTATGAGCACACATAATAATAAATATATGTATATAAATAGAAGTTATATAAAAAACAAATCAACAAAAAAGTGAACTTCCTGTCGTTGATTTGTTGTTGTTGTTGTT